TAAATCAGGAAGTCCTGGGCCACAGAGAGTATGCTGTTCCTGCAGGTCAGGGGGAGAAAAAAATCCACTGTGTCTGGTGCAAACAGGAAGTGGCTTTGTGCAAGCTTTTAAAACTAAATGAAAATATCACCACAAAAAGCATTCATGTGGGTTAGCTCTTATTAAAATACTTTAATCATCGTCAGCTGTTCTGTCGTCTTGCTCCACACTTGCACATATATTTGGCTTGACCACACTGTTACCTCTGACAAGTTAGCCCTGCGTAGCAAGTGGACAAAACTAATTCCTATGGTTGTTTTTGAAACTGTCAGAGGTACACCATATTTCAGAAATAGTTAAAATGCCAATCCTGTCTCTCTGTTTATGTCACTTGTGATATCAGTAAGTGGGATCAGTTAAATTCATTGCAAAAATCTGTGATGTTATTCAGGTTTAATCAGAGCCAGTTCCGCTGATTCAGCACCAACTGAGCAAACACCAGCAGGGGTGGTCCTCCGGCGGCCCAGTCGGGATTTAGTAATCGCCCAGCCTCAGAGAGTGAGCACGGGGAGCCTACCTTCATCCACTTCCTCCACCCCCAGAAATGGAACACCTGAGTTGCAGCGCCACAGCAGCCCCGTGCCTCAGTCTCCTCACAGGGTGTCCTGGATTGAGGATGGCGTCTGGCTGCCTCCACCCAGGCCTTCTTCCTCGCTCCAGCCTCCATCACTCGAGCTTGACTCGCTTTCAATCAGCAGCATAGAGGAAGAGATGGAGCCCCAGATGCTAAGCTCGTCACATCACCACGCTTCAGCACACCGTTTGGCTGATAAGGTCCTACATCGCCTCTCTGCCGTGGGCCAGGCGCTGGGTGGGCTGGTAAGCCAGAGAAAAAGACTGTCCAATCGTGTGCAAGAGCTGAGTGAGAAGAAAGGTGCTGCATTCGCAGAGGCTGTGAAGGGATTTGTGGAGATGACATCGAAGCGAGGGACTGATTCTAGCGGTGTCACAGGGTCGGAGTTCTTACAGGAAGTGAGATTATCACTCACATCACTGAGGGAGACACTGCTGGATTATGCAGACATCCAGATGTTACTGGAAAGCATAACTGACTTAAACGACTCAGAGATTGGTGAGTGGGCTGTGACATAACACAGAAATGATTTTAGGTTTTTGTTGTCAGCATAAATGACAGAATATATATTTTGCATTCTTAAAACCTTGTGGTTGAACGCTTAGTGCTCCAATAATTATCCCTCTGCTACCTTTTATCCTGGTGTAGACACCTTGGTGGAGCTCTCCATCCACAAAGTGGCTCTGAAGCCTGTCTCCAGCCACCTCTACTCCTGCATAGAAACCTCCCGAACCAATGATGGCACCTTCGAGCGTCTCCAGAGCAACCTGCGCTTGCTGGAAAAGAACGAGGTGACTGAACTAGGAGGTTCAGCAGGAGTCGGAGTTCCTGACTCCGTCACGCTAGATCGTATCCAGCAGAAATGGAATAATATGCACGATGTCTACTCCCCAAACAAGAAAGTGGAGATCATGCTCAAAGTCTGCAAGAGCATCTATCACAGCATGAGTGCCAATGCTAGCTCAGGTAGCCTGGCAGTGTTTCGTAAATACCACTCTTCTACTTTGAGTCGCTTGGTTGTTATATCCACTAAAAGTCATGTTCTCCTCACAGCAGGTAAAGTGTATGGAGCAGATGATTTCCTGCCCTGCCTGACGTGGGTGCTGCTCCGTAGCAACCTGGTCACCTTGCAGGTAGACACAGATTACATGATGGAACTGCTGGATCCCACACAGCTACAAGGAGAGGGTAAGCCAGTTATAATTCAAGGACAATGTAGAGGAAGTGTGATGCTCCATTTTAGTAAATCATGTTTGAAACTAAATAGAAGTTTTTCTGACTTTACTCAGAAACTTAGTAAGTGACTTGCTAACACACTCTGACAGTAATGCCTATGTTTTGCCTGGTCAACAACTATCTGGAAATCATCAGTTGTGAGAGGAAAGTGCGTATTCCCCGACTGGTTGTGAGTGGATGCTGGAAGTTGCTAGGATGAATTGGTCAAAGGGACCTGAAATTTCCCTGGGATTGCTTTGGTGGCTAGCAGATTGCTGCAGTCACCAGTAGTTTACATGTGTGTTTACTCCTCGATAAATGTAAATAAACTGTGCAAAGTAAGAAACTGGGCTAAAATGTGTGCAAATGTTTGCACACAAGTCAGCATTTTTCATGGAACTCTAACAATCTGCTAGTAAGCACCATAAACTTCCAGCGACTACTTGCAAGCTGGTCTTTGGCTTTGCACATTTTTCCCTAATGATGGCTGCTCACTGGTCTCCAGGCCCACGTGACTAAGGGCTTATTCTTTTAAGTAAAGCCTATTTTATAGTCCTGCAAATGTGTTCATCTGCATACCGGTTTAAATTTTGATGGAGGAGTGGCTCTCGTGCAGTCCTCCAAGATCCTGACTGCACATGGCTGGATGTACATGAACTTAAAAAGTATGGCCTTTTAAAGTCTAAAGATGACACCATAGAGGGCCTTCTTCTTGCACTACTAATATGGCATTGCACACTTAAAATAATCCTTACGTTTTCTTAATTTTGTCCTTGGTGCAGCCCTTTAGTTTTTCAGCTGTCTGAAAAAAAACAGTTTTAGCTCCTGTTCCCCTTTGTTTAAGTGATCTTTCTTTTAATTGGCTGCCCCTCGCACACAGGAAACAGCAAGTGGGTGGTGTTTCTGTTCTCGCTCTTTAGTGTACTCCCAAGAGCTAAGCTTTGGGTTTAATCAGTCCCCCCTACACGTATGGAACTTTATGATGACACTTTGTAGTTGTAGTTTTGTAGTTTCCCCCCTGCTTATAGGTTGTCTCACTCAATGTCACCTTTTTCTATATCCCTATATCAACAGGTGGCTACTACCTTACAACTCTATATGCATCTCTCTACTACATCAGCAGTTTCCGCCCACGACTGGCTGCCCGTCAGCTCAGTGTGGAAGCCCAACAGTCTCTCAATCAGTGGCATCGCAGACGCACACTGCACTGTAACCAGTCGCGTCGCAGCAAACACAGACGGACTATTCGGAGGCAGGTTTGTCGGGACGGGAGTAAAGATGAAAGAAAAAATGAAAACGCATCTGTTAGTATGGAGGGGTCACAGGAACAGGAAGAACGCAACACAGAGGCTCTGCAGACACTGAGCGAGGAGACAGGGAGGGAACAAGGAGCCAATGACCAATCACAGCCTACTAGTCCAACTTCAGACTCTCAACCTGTGACACAGGAAGAGGAAACAGCAAGCAAACAGGAAGATAGCCAGACTTCTGGTGAAGGAAAAGAGGAGGACCACAGAGCATTATAATGAGATGCACGTCGTCAGGAGAAGGTCAAAGACCCTCAAAATGTTCTTACTGGTCAAAGCTATTTCACACCTGTTGAAATTCTTGCAAAGAGGTAAATGAAGCTTTTAACATGTGTCACTAATACCGTGGTGTCAGTTAAGGTGAACGTGTGCCTGACTCAGCCTGAGGATTGGGACTCCTCTTGGGTCTCATTATAAAGCTGGAGGGTCACAAGTTGAGAGGATGAATGAGATACTAAAGTGACATTTCTTAAATTCGAGCTGTTTTCTTCTAAAGTGTAACAAGGGGTGTCACACATGGATACCGCTCTCTTGTCACACTCCAAAAAGATTCAAAGCACTGGTCTAAATGACAACAAGTTTAATGTCACAAGTGAGCTGTAAAGACAACACTTGTTACTAGAGACTTGCTTAATGGGAGCTTATTTGGCCACCACAATCAGTGTAAATGTGTGACATAGATCAGTGTTCCCCCTCATACTCCGGGGGGTTAAATCTAGTAATTGATCACATTGATCAATTAACAGTATATATTAAACATAAGCGATGTATTTGATACAGTTGCTTTATCACATTTCCTAAACCCCCCTGACCAGGAAGTGGTTGCATTTTGTAAGATGTGCCCTGGGTTGGAATCCTTCATGCTGATTAATTTAAACTTGTATCATTCGACATTTCTAAATGTGGTCATATTAAAGCAGTAACTTGCCAAAAGAGTGAAGTCATTAAGGTCTAAAAAAGTCTGCTTAGGTTGTACAGTTTATTCTGCTCTTTTTAGCACCACCTACAACAGAGGGCTATTTTCAGGTAAATGCAGTCCCACTTTGTGTTGCTCATAGAGTATATTATTATTATTATTATTATTATTATTATTATTATTATTATTATTATTATTATTATTGCAGAAGCTTGCTCCAGGATGAAATGCTAAAATGTACTTGGACAGTGTTGCTAACTATTAATTTTGTTAATAGCGTTAAATGGTGTTAGCAGTAACATTTTGACAATGCCATGGGCATGTCTTATCCTTTCGTCCTAAAGTGGCAATAAAATAAACTAATCAATAAGTAAAACTGAATCATTTGATCTTCTCAATTCTGTCTCAGACTCTTTTCTAACAGCATTTTGCTGCAAAGGCATGTGCTATGTTGTTTCTGGTCTCCACAGTAATGCACACTTTAAATCCACAGACTCCCCACAAAAAGCAATTACAGTAGCACCATTATCACTTATCTCTACACTACAGTAAAGTTCATCTGCAGTTTGGGCCACTAGAGGGCAGCATTCAACCTTCTCAGTTATGAACAGCTTTTAGCCCCTTGATTGGTGGGTGGCTTTGGAGCTTTCTTGAAGAGGAAGCTGAAACTAAACTAAGTTACATAAGTTAAAATCACTGTGCTACTATTACTAGTACTAGTGATAGTGTTTCTCTTTTGGCACAGTATAATATTTAGCAGAAGCAGAAGCTATAGCACCAAACAGGTAAGTAAGGAATAAATCATTGGTCATGAGACAAAGCTGAAAATGACAACTGAAATTGCAAGACTGAAAGGAAGGAGTCAAAATCAAATTTGCATATATGTAAGGGAGATGGCATGTCTGTAAAAGTTGCAGTTGAAGTGATAATGAAAAGATACTTGCAAGTCACATTTGAAGAGGTTCTTGAAAGGAGACTTGAAAGGAGGTACGTTAGGCTAGTCATTGACATTAAATGTGTAAGTCAAGTTAAAGCACCTGTAAAAACAGAGTGACAGGTGGAGGTTCAGCACTGGGCACGGGGGGTTGGGGGTAAGCTGTCAGCTAATGCTAACTTGGTTTGCAAGGGGCATCAATAGACAGGATTAATGCATTACACAGAAACTGCTCGTGAGTGCTAAGAGGTATACACATATGATACTAGAACCAAATTTACCAAATTTGCGTCATTGCTGTTAAAGCAGTGACGCAAACTGAAGCCAATTCATTTGTTAAACTGTTGCACTGAAAAGTGCAAAGACTTTATTGACTTAAATAAGTTGAGGTGAACCCAGTCAGGAAGTGGCCACAGGCCTAATATCGCACAATTTTAAGTAAGTAAATAAGTAAGTTAGAGCCTCTACAGTCTACTTCTAAAAAGCAGCTTCTGAAAACCATACAGCTGAAAGCACGTTAAATCTGCTGTATAAAGTTTGGCATTTCACATGGCAGTTTGTGGTTCACTTTTGGAGCCACCCTCAAGTTCAAACATTCAAAAATCTAGTTTTTGGTACATCAGCTATTTTTTAGTCTTCGGGGTTGTCAATTGGTTAAGACTTTAAGAAGTGGCTATTAATAAACTAAAAATTAAGGCTGAAGCATCTCACTTAAACTAGACTTAGTGGAAAAATAGCACAGTTAAAAATTAAAATAAAAGGAGTCATAAATAGGCCTCGGCTCCTAGGGGTTTCCCATGATTTCTTCTTCGCTCATCTTCTTTTGCTTTCTATGTTTATACACCACTCTGTATTTAATCATTAGTTATTATTAAACTCTGGCTTTTTCTCCCATAGCTTACCTTTCATCCTGTCTTCCTCTGCTCTCTTCTTGTTCCCCTTACCACGAACTGGTTGCGGCTGATGGCTGCACCTCCCTGAGCCTGAGTCTCCCGCAAGTTTGTTCCTGTTAAAAGGAAGTTTTTCTTTCCCACTGTCGCTTGCTTATAGGGGGTCATGTGATGGTTGTGGTTTCTTTCAGTTATTCTAGGAACTTTACAATATAAAGTGCTTTGAATTGATGCTGTATAAATCAAACTTAATAAAAATGCTAAATCAAAAAAAGAAAAAAGGTGGAAAGGACAGTTGAATTCTTGTAAGAACGGAAGTAGAATTTAAATTCATTATTGTAATTTAATCTATAGTCTGTAGTTATTGTTCTTGTACATTTTCCTATTATTCATGATATATTTATGCTATTACATTGCTATTTTTGTTGTTATAATATAATTAACAGCTTGTAAATTCAAATGTTACCACAATACTTAATAAATGCACATACATTGAGCGTGCACACATGTGAATAGTTATGCGGAGGGCCTCTCATGTAAATGTACACACACAGCTCCATGTACATGCACATATGGAACCGTCTCATCGCTGCATTCTAAATGACCGAGCCAATCAAATTTGCCTAATGAGACATCTGGCATTCTGCCTGCATGTGGATGGCAAGCCCAGAAACAGCTGGGCGTTCACACACACACACACACACACACACACACACACACACACACACACACACAC